ACCACTTACGGTTTACATCCGTAATTTTACGACCTTGCTCCATGCTTGCGATGCTAAAATCCACACAACTGTGAGAACGAGACCCTCCGTTCCGACCCAGAATTCAGGACGCTTTGAGCAACGAACCACAAAGCTCGTGTCACCGACGCGATGTTATGATAAATAGATTTTCAGCTACCAAGGGATGCGACTTGATTTGTTATTTCTTAAATATTTTGTCGGTATTTCGTGAGACAAGTATTTTCCAATTGAAATAATGAATTTGTTCAGAAAATTGTAAAAATAAAATGGTTAAAGATAACATACACTACATTGAAAATGTTTATATCTGATGCTTACATCATTTGAAAATCATGACAGATACATTTCCACTGATTTTTAAATTTTAAGTATCACTTCGGGATTTAAAGAATAGTATTTTTAAAATTATGTAAAGAGTGAGAGAGTGACAAAGGGTATTTATTTCGGAGCTCTTTTATTCATTCCATTTAAATTTTGACACGTTGCCCAATAAACCACCACCAAATATATCAAAAAGAAAAGTCAATGAACTAATAACATTTTCTGCTTGGTCCGACCTATTGCAGGGAAGTCATGAAAGAGAGAAGAACAACAAAGTGTGCACGCGCGTTCACGTTTAGATAACGTTGATGTGTTCTCATAATACGTAGTCGAAGCATCGGTAAGAAAATGTCGTCGTCCTTGCTCTCTCGCATCGATCCCAATTTTCGTAGCGTGCCCGTAGAGTTCTCACATAGTAATTTCTCGTATCTGACATAGCTCGTAAATTGGAAAACAGACGGTCGGAAACGCGATGACACAAACATTAAAACGAGCCAACGAGAACGTCTGTTCACGAGGGAAAGATAAAGAAAACTAGAAACCGCATTTTCCTTGTGGCTAGTTTCAGATAACACAGTCGTTCCCGCGAGAGAATTAAAAATTAACACGGTTAAAATTTTAACAAACGAAATCGGGAGTCTGCTTGACTCACCACTAAATTAATCACCGGTTATCAACGATCGGGCGATATGAATAAAATGTAAATGGCTGTGTTCGCGAAACTAGTAAAAGTTGCTCGAACTGCCTCATTTTTCATAGAAAAGGGGACAAAAATTGCCAGGCCACTTAAAAGGGATAATTGATGCGGAACAAAGTCCTTTTAGGGTTTATCTTGTTCTTAAATGACCCGCACGACGCTGCCCCATGCCCTCCTAACGCTTAAGTTCGCTAAAATAAATTGACTGGAACTGTTACGCACCTTCTAAAAATCTGAACGAACCTAGGACACGGAGCTACCAAATCGCGTTAAACCTCGAGCACTTTAGGTGTCATTTTATGGTACCTACGGTTCTAAATGCTTTCTAATTCTTTCTAAAATCTGTTGGCGTGAAGTTAAATAAGTAGTATCAAAATCAGAAAATCAACAAAATTGTATTCATCATATTGTTTCCAAGCAGTCATCATGGCTGTATATCGTCTGTAGGTAAAGTATAATTTCAGAAGACATGATAAATATTATTGCGAATAAATATCCCTAAATATATGAAATTCTTTCCCGAAAAATTATCTCAGTGACCAGATATGTGTACGTGTATCATTCTGTCATACAAACATAAAAAATAATTACGAATCTTTTTCTGATCTTAATAAATTTATCTCTGTAAAATGTAATTCTATCTCGTTATATGTTCTAATCGAATTTAAAGGACCGATTTAATTGTCGAAGGTAAATCCATTAAACCACGAATCATTCTATTTCAAAAGCTGGAAATCGGAGGATCGCAACGCGACGAACAAAGCGCAATCTTTTTGCTATATTCGACATCTGCCCGGATACAGCAACGCATTATTTGCCAGTCAAAGTTGATGCACCTGCGGGATTCCACGTATTTGTATGCATACATGAGGTACGGACTGCGGGCGATCTAATTCTAATCCAAACATTTCCGGTCCATTGACGACGCGTGTCTTCCATTAATGGACTATTTCATTACTGAATCGTACCGCGACTGGAAATATTGAATGCGATCGAATCAGCCTCGAACTGCAATTTAATATCGACCGGAGAGATAATATCTTTCGATATCGGGATGATTAACGATACGCTTGCTTCGATAAATAACGTTCGGCATTAATTTGTAAATAAGTGAAATATGATGAACTGTTCCGAAATATATGTTAATATTATGCAAAAGGCGGACAATATCGAAATAATTGTTTGCAATACGAGCAATGTTTTAATGAAGATAAAACGACACACGGTGCGTTAATTGTTATCTTTCGGTGGAGGACGTTGCATGCGGCCAACAACATTCCGACGAACGGAAAAATGTAATTATTCGTAATGCGTACACTAGTGACTATTAATATTCATTCCGCGATTCCTGTAACCGTAACTGTGTATTTCACGCATTTCAATAAAAACAAGCGAATAAAACGATTCTGCCTCCTCCATTTTAATATTACCTAAACGATCGATAATATCGCATCGCGTTACGCTCTAACGAGTGAACAAATTTCAAAAGGATTCTTCGAGCCCTCGATTAATTTCAGAGATTTGTTACCTTACTTGTATATTTCAATCATAAAATTACGACACTTACAAAATGTGAAGTGATACTCATTTCCTTCGATTTAACCAAGTTCAAAGGGCCCATAAGGTTACAAGCTCGTTCAAAGCACACTTTAAGGGCCGGAAAGCTGATTCGTGATCTACCAACGAGTAATCTCGACAATTTGCGTGAAGATCGAGGGACATGCACGGACACCGACACGCTCGCGTCATCCAATGTGATTTATATGACACGTCCCGTTATAATGCCGCTCAACCATAATGCAATTCTAGGGGCTGGAAGCGCAGGAAGTGACATGAAGAGCAACACCACGTGGTAACCACCGCGCGCGGTTCGCCAATGACCTCTTATTCCGGCTATGGCCACTATCGTGCGGCAACATCAAATACCGATAGCTAAAGAACGTCATGATAAAAAATTTGCTGATGAAAAAACGTATTCGTTATGTGTACGGAAGATATTATCCCTCTTATACAGGATAGTGTTAGCAGTGGATTAAAGCTATTTGTTGATTATATTATGAAAAACTCGAGACACGAAAATACCTTGGGATTAATTAGCGATATTCGTTTCTCCGTTGGTAACGCGAGCTAGCTTTGCTAAAATCAAGCAGAGGTATCGGGGCTAAGGTTAATAATAATAATCAGTCGAGTACTGTTATACAAAATAGGAAACAAGCGAAGAAAGAGGAACGAGGGAGGCAAGCAGGAAATCTAATGGGATTAGGATCTCGATGAGCCGGGATAATACGAAACAGGGGTGTGTTTTCTCAAGGGAAAAGTGGCGTACGTGGAATTTCAGATTTCGGAGCTAGCTCGGGAAACCAAAATGGTACCGTGGCAAACGAGCCCTGGAACAATTCACGCGAACGAAAATTTCCCGATAAGACGAGTTTGTTACGCCAACGAAAGTTTCGAAAATATGTTCGAACGTATATCTGAGGTCATCTCGCCAAGAATTGTCAATTAAATCTAACAGCTAATTACGAAGAATAAACGACTTGAATTGAGATCGTCTCTCACCGCGAAATTGATCCTATTTTCTGGGAAGCACACGACAAGGGATGAAAAAGGAGATGAATGACTTGGTAGGTAGGAATAGGAGGAAGAACCACGAACGAGAAAGATAATCGCGGCGGTCGTAGGCATCCCAGAAAGTTATAAGAACCGGAGACCGCAGTTTACTCGATTTGACGAGTGAATACTCGTGTTACATCCGAATCGCTTTCAGCCTCCTTCCACCTATTTCATACCCTCGTTTCCCTTCCTACGATTCAGGGTAAAGTATGCGCCATCTACGTTGAATTTCAAACGATGCTGCAAATCGAACGAAGCCCTCCATGAATCTTTTCATTCGAATACCGCAGCGCTGACGATGCCACTGGAGAAGTTGGTTGTCAAGCTTGCTGAAAAGGGCAGGTTACCCTCGACGTTTGAATGACGTAAGAGTGACAGAGGTGATCGAAGCCGATAAATCGTGATAAATGTCGGAAAATGACGGAAAAATAATATGAAAACAATAAAAGAACGATTCGAGAGATTCGATTAATTTTAATTGCGTGTAAAATTTAATTTGCCCTAGTATTGTGTGACAATTTTTAACGCCAATGGCCTAAGCGTAAATGATTATTTCTCGCATGTGGAAATTATTCGAGAGGCAGCAGAATATCGTACGAGCATTAAATCCCAAGAACAATTAAAAACATAAATTTTCCTGAACCAATTCGTGTTCATTCTTTTTTTTTAAATAAAAGAAAAGTTACGTGTTTTCAATGGTCGCCTGCGTAATCCTGACAAATCGTAGGGATCGATCATAAAAATGAAAACACACGGGACGAGATCAATCGCAATATTTTTCGCACCGTCCCTATCAATTCATATCGCCGATAAGAGAACTTAACGAAATTCCAATCGATCTCTCATCAAAGTAAACGTTGCAGGAAAAGTATTGTTCTACTAGTATTTCGACATCAAGGCGGCGTACGATATCGAGATAGGATTCAATCGTCGGAATAGTTTACGGATCGAAAACCGACACACGATTAAACTATAATTTCTATCTAGAATCAAAGGAGGGAGGTAATTGTGGAAATTCGAGCACGTGCAACGTCGTAACGCGGCTACTTGTAAAATTATACGAATACCTCTGAGATTCTAACCGAATATTTGCGACTGATACTTAATCATAAATTTGCACGATCTATTCGAACAACAAGAACAAGAAGAAAAGCGGCATCAATTCGAATAAACCATTCTTCGATATTTTTAGTTCACGCATATTCGTACAATATATGATACATTGGACAAAATAAAAGGTATGAATGGAAAGACAATCTGTTTTCAGTTAAAAGTCAAAGTGTTTAGTTATCAACAAGGATTGATTTGTGCAAGGATTCTTTTGTGTTCACACGTTTTGTCTACTTACATGTCTCGTGTCAGCCGCAAGAAGGGGCGTGTGTGCCTGCAACAATGAGTGCCCAGAAAATTAGACTGTGAAACCCCAATAGAATTCTTATTTGCTTTCTAGAGTTTCATGCTTCAGAAAAGACTCTGATTCATTCATCGCCGAGGACACGAATTCCCCGAGCCAAAGCATGCTATCATGCGATAACACGCGCCGGGAAGGGGTCATGCAAGGGAGCAAGAGTGAAACTGCCTTTTGACCAGCAATCAAATCTAACGCAGGCTTTTTAAAACATTTCTCTCCGATCGCTATCTATGAAACAATATGTACTTTTCAAAGAAAAACAAAAAGATTTCTTTTAAACTTGCATTCGCCGAAGAAGCTGAAAATTTGTAGAGCTACGATTTTACTTGTAACCTGAAAAAGTTAAAAGCGAAGCTGTAACGTCCGTGATATTCGATATCGAATTAAATTTTAACTCGGTTTAATGATATTCGGCGTGAAACAAAAGCAGGATAGAACGTAAATTAAATATTAAATAACTAAGTATATTTGTCCCATATCGTAACGATGAAAGTAAATTAATTCTGATAGTTTAAAATGTAAATTTTACTTTTTTTCGAAAATGCGGAGGAACAAAAGAAAAGCTGGTTCGGTAGTTTCCCTCGTAGAATATCATGTGAAAAACGGTAACGCAAAATTTCTCGAGGAAATTTAACATGTTAACTGGAAAAGTTTATAATCGAACGGCAATTCGAGTTCTCGAATTTCCTTTTACAGGGTCCGTGTTCTACGGAAATATGTTTCCATCAATTCTCGAAAAATCGCTTAGCGAATCGACATCCTGCAAGTTTTCTAATATGTTTGAATTTCGTAATTTGACCAGTTACACTTCCACCTTGGATTTTTCCTGTTCTTAAATGTATCTCATTGGTTTCCATCAAAGAACCAGACGATATGATCTATTGCTTTGTCCGCTTATCGATGCATGATCAAACAGCCACTCTACAATACATCGGTTGTGTACACACATTTTTGTGGAACATTTAGATGGAACCTCTTAGATGCGATGCGCCACTATAGTGGCTCACTTTACTGACTTATTCGCTCGCCGTTTGAACTAAATGATCTTTTTCATTTGACAGTGTTATGACAGTGTTAACTATATATACAGACAGAATATATAGTCTTTGTTTTTGATATGCAAATGTCAGATATCAGTTGTTGCTTTCCATTAAAATAAATATATCATTATTAGATGCTCTTTTTAACATGCCGATCCGTATCTGTATAATTTTTTAGAATCTTCAACCTCAAAATGTCGCTACAAAATAGAAAATGAAGAGCAATGTGAAAAACACTATGGCGCCGTGAGTGAAAATTGTGACGTGAGTCTATGTGTCGTACCGTGCTTTAAAATATATCACACTCAATTGTATTATTAATTATTAAAGTAAATTATTAAAGTTGAAGTATATGCATCATAAAAGAAAAATTATAATTTCATTATCAAAAACTTCATTCCAATGTGCTTGCGTAGAGAACAGCATTATCCGTCGCACATTGCAGTGCTGTATCGTTTCCGCGTAATTCGCGTCAAACTCTGCCGTACAGAGAAACAACCCCGCACAAAATTCAACCATACCTAAGAGATTAAATACCGTTCTCCACAGTGTACCATTGATTCGCTCGTTGAAGAAAGAATAATCGCAATTGCTACACGTAACATTGCTTAATTACGCTTTTGATTAAACGTTCGTTTCGGTTGAAGTTGAATTACGTAAAAGAGCGCTTCAGAAAAGAATATTTATTTTCACTTTGAAAATTACACATCCCAATTCCGTTTCTTTTCACACCGATAGCCTCCATTAGAAAGTAGTTCCTCTGATTGATGAATCCGTCGCGAATATTTCACTCTCTAGCTGGAAAACAAGCGTGATCGTCGCAACGAGGAAAAGATCTCCATCAACGGAACGAGAAGAGATAAAACGAGGTTATGGGGCTCGTTATCACTGGGACGGAAAGGAAAGGGGAAGCCACAGTTGCACCTACTCCGCTACTCGACGAGATGATCGAAATGAATCACCAACCTCGTCTCATTTCCATCGTGTTCCCAAGTCCTATTCTTATCTTGTCATTTTGTCCCCTGTTTCTCTCTGCGGAGCCAATTCTAATCGTAATTTATTGAAACTTGAATCGATTCGTGCTGGTTGTACGCAAACGCGAATGTCTAACGAGTCCTTCGGGTGCTATTGCCATAGAGTGAAATGTATTATGCCGACGTCTGTATGCGGACCATTCAGTTTGAGCCCTTCATTATTAAAACATTTATGTAACGGTCTCGAATCTGACAATCGACATTTATACAGAAACGTTCGCAAAATGAATCGCGTCCCAGTACGTTTGTACCCAAGAGTACCCCATAGGTATTTTGCCATCTCGAATAGCGGCAAAATTAATTAAACGCTGATAATAGGAAGTTTTGCAAGAACAATCGAAGTTGTATCAGCGAATGGTAAATCGGATCGATCCTCGCCAAGCTGTTGCCTTTGTCGTGGTTTCGAATGGCCGCATCCCAGAATTTGATCTCATAACGATAAATAAAAACGCCACGAAATAACAATAGGCCAAAAATAATAGACGGATAATTTCCTCACTTCGTAACGTCGAGAACAATGAAAAACCTCTTCTGGTGAGTGCAATGGGAGGAAGATGGCTACCATCGTTTGCTACCTCCGTCAAACCATTCCCTTCACTTTAATCCGCCCCGATTCCCATCCCTTTCAAGCGGAAACGATAAGAAGTCAAGAAGACTTCTCCAATTCCATCGGGAAATAATTGACTGAAAATAAAACGGGACAACCTTGGAGGGAGTCGAGGTGGCTGATCTTGAAAAAGAATCGGCAAGGTAGGAAGTGAAAGTTCATTCAACAAGTACTCCCCAGATGGAGGAGAAACCATGCTAATACAATTGCTTTGCGATGGAAACCAGACGTTTTTGTTATTCATGAATCCACTAGACGATATCAGAGTTTACACCCACTGCGAACTTGTCGGCGCGCTTAAACGGTGAAATTTAATCGAGCAGACACCCCGAGAATCAATAAAATATCGAGTGCAATAAATTCGATTTTCACCTTTTAAGGTAAAGAAACAGATGATCTCTTGGAAGCGAAAGGACATTGAAGAGCAATTTTCACCGGATTTTTGAAAGAAAATGTATTCAGAGAAAAGTGTGTAACGTTGAATAGATATACCTATCGTTGGAAAAGAAAGTCGATAACTAGGGGATTTTACGACGAAATCCCGTCGTTCTTGTTATTCATAGAGCTGCCATGCGAAATATGAATTGATGCACTCTAACGCGTATAAGCGCACTTATGTATAGAAAATATGCAAACCCTGTGGATAAAACTGAATATGGAATATCCGTATTCGTGTTACGACACTATGAAATATTCGGTATTTCCTCTCGTGTATAGCCAAACTAATTGTGTATACAAAAAGCGACAAATTAAACGGTGAAATTGCACTTCGCTCGGATAAAGCTGCTTTTTTAGTTTTAGTACAATTGTTTAAGCAAATTTACAAATATGAACATTTTTGGTTTGACATTAAGAGATAAAAGATTACGTTATTATGAGACAAATTACATTTATAACATAAACAGGGATTTCGTCGTTATTACTGAGATTTAAAACCTACGTGCGTTTGTATCTCTATTAAGAATTATTTTTTATACTCTCCATTTTAATTATGGTAAAATGGTCTTAATCAATCTCTTAGAAATCGAAACTTTATAATATTTGTAATTAGGTGTAATCGACTATTTTTCATACTCTGATATCTAAAGATTATCAAATATTTAAATATACAGTCGATGTGTCCATATTATTTATATAAAAACCTTAAAACTCTGCAACACGTGAGCTTTCGAAAAATCAATTTCAACAAATATTCTCCATAAAATACTTCAATTGAAACGACATGTTTCTCCATCAAAGGGACTCTTCACTTGGAAACCGAGTATTAGAGTTTCATCTCTATTTTTCTGGAATACCTACTATGTTTTCACAGCAAAGTGTGCAGTGAGAAACAAATGGGAAATAACACGTTACTATTTCGTAAAAGTAACTTGTAAACAATTCAGTCGTCTGCCATTTTGTACCACCTCAGACGATTTACACGATGATTCCATTGACTGTTCGAATATTTCTGTACGCAATTTCTCGTATCTCGCATTCAATCTTCGATTTTCCCGTGGGAAAAGCGCAGCTTTCCAACCTGGAAATACTATAGTTCACGCGCGTGCAAAAATAAAATAGAATCACTGCGAAACAAATATCGTTCTATTCGCTGGATATAATCGGATCATTATTTAGTGAATTTATTATTTTAACGAACATCGAATTTCTTTTATTTCTTTCGCATAATATATAAATTCATTTATGATTTCCTAAAACTAAATTTAACTATTTTTAATAAGGAAGCCATTTATTCTATAACATTAATTTCATTCAATACAAAATAATCAATTTCCTTCCTTTTACGACAAAAAAAATTAGATTTGTTTCCATTAACGTATTTCTCAGAGTAAAGTGAGAGAACGCTGCGTCGTCATAGTTGTTTGAAAACAAAAACAAGAAAAAAATGGTAAACGGCCACGAAATGAATTTTCTTCTGGAAACTCGTTTGAGGAAGCATCTAGCTTCGCTTCTAACCGAAGAGTAAAAAAGAGCAAGACAAGAAATTTGTGACGAGGAAGATGAGGATAGAGGACCGAGAATAGAAAAGACAGTGCAGGCCTGAATGGTAATTAATTACCAGAGACCACTCGCTGTCGCCGGAAGCTCTCGATTCGCGATGCACGGTGGAATATGAAATTCAATTAGCTTGTACGTGAGCGCACTTCCGAATCCACAGAATTAGGAGCACTGTTCGTAAGCTTCTTCCACGATTTTCCGAAAACTTTTTCTACTCATGACGCTGGGAATTAACTTCCCTGAATTTTTTTCTTTATGTAATTAGGATAATTTGTTGTTCGGTCTCTCGCAGTGGTGCATCCGTATTAGTGATACAGTTCGTCACGACGATCGAAATATATTCGTTCGAATGCTTGCTCTAATTTGTTATCCTCGCGAATTACGTACATTCTCGTTTGCCTCGTAAGAAAATTAGCATGGTTTCAGTCCAGGAAAAATTTTCGGAAAAGCGTTTCGTTCAACGGATACGACCCCATCATTTGATATTCCCTCAGTGCCCCTGCGTTTTTACTGTGTATCTATCAAATATTTCATTTCGAACCAAAAGTAATAAAACTCATGGTGAAAGTAATCATCTACCTGAAGCAAGTACTCTGCGCCGTTAACGGGAAAAGTTTCGTTTGCGTGTGTGCATACCTATTTGAACATACCTATCAAATCGTTTAATATAGTTGCACCATGTTCTACGTTTCGTTTGATGTAGGAAAATAGGAACATTTTAAGATCATTCGCGAGGAAAATTATCTTGCTTTGGTTTTAAAGCGTATTGGATAAACATTATCTCGTATTACGTATGAGACAATTGCAGTTCAAGATACTCTGATTTCCGTAGATTTCTTTTAATCTTCTAGTACCAAACCGGTTCGAACGAAGATTAGAGATGTAGCGGAAAAATGAAAATTACACAGTTATACGAGATACGATTTAACGAGCGTATAATTACTCAATTTTTACAGAAACGCATTAGTAATATCTCAGCTTTCTAATCAATCACGATAATTAAGAGACACGTCAACCGTAGTTTATCATCGGTTTATATTTTATCATTTTTTTACTTAAATTCTTTCCTTCTGTCTTTTTATACCGCAGATAATCACATCAGTGTATAATGTTACAAAGTTTAGATTCTTTACATTTTCCTTTTTTATTATCCGCGAAGGAAACAGGGCCCAAGAAACTGCGAATGCAGATGCAAACAAAAGTAGGAAGACCGTAGCCGTTTCGTCGTTAATGTATTTCAATCCGCACGCACCACGACTGGTAAAGTCGTTTTCTTAGAAAATGGAATGATTCGGATTCGGCTACATTTACACATTTATGGAATATCGATTTCCGGCCCCTCCGGTGGAAGAGACAGCCTGGAAGCTTCCGTATATTCACAGACTGAATTCGCCGAAGGCTAGACCGTGCTAAAACCATCGGAAACCGCAGTCGCGAATTCCGATCGATCAAGTTACAATACAAGAAGCGTCGGTAATGGCAACATTATTTTATAGTTGAGTCGTAAACTTTGTAGCAAAATTAATATATCCGAGTGTGACACAAATTAATCGATGTTTGAGCTGGTATAGTTTACTAAAAAAATATCTCAAACGAAAGTTTATTGTCGCTAAATAAAGAATACATTAATACAGAAAACACAAGACGACACTGGTTTTTTTAAAACTTTATAACGACTAATC